AAGGGCATAAAAACAATCCTTTCATAATGAATGAAAAACTTTAAATCCGTTATGGAAATTTTGTCAAACTAAATGAAACATTTTTTACTTTAGTTAATTTAAAAACAATATACATCCAGAAATTAAGTAACAAATAATACAATTTAACTTAGTTTTGGTAATTTGAACCATATATATAATGAAAATCTCTTATCCTATTTGTCGTAGATTAGATGACCAAATTTTTTGCATATGCAGTTACACACATAATCAGATCATATCAAAAATAGATTAAATGTAAATAACATAAATTCCAACCCAAATCGACATCAATGAAGAACCGTTTTTTGGAACTCCTTCTTCATCTTGATGTTTCTAGCCAATATTATCATTTAATCTATTAAATGTTGATTCTGATCTCTCGTGTTTGACTTCACTACACTCATCTCGTATTTTGGATTCATTATATCGTCTCAGACTTCCTCCTTCGATAGAGCATCTAGAACTTCGTTGATCTTTGTCTCTTCATTCAAAAATTATCGGAGAAGAGCCTTCATTACTCGCATTCTTGATTCCAAACTTTCTAGGCCTTCTCGAATGGTGGCGATGAAATCTTCATTCAAGGCTGCGTTTGATGCAAGATAAGTCATTAACTAGTGGACAACATTATGCTATATTATTTATGTATATTAAATATTCCAACTAATACCCATATATATGAATTACTAAAAACCTTTCAATATCTACCCTTTATTCTTGTAAAATCCTCCACATACGCATATTTTCTACCACCACATCTTATACATCTTACTTCATTCGAAACTAATGGCTTCTTCATCTAATGCTATCAATTCTTCGGATATTTTGTCTGAAGTAAAGAAGCTTTCTCTCACCAAAAGTATCGATGATGTGTACTAATGTATTCACGTGAATGCTATCAAAGCAAGGATTGATACTTCCATACAAAATCATGAGGAGAAGAAAAGGAGGATCGAGGCAATTAACTTGATTCACAAAGATGTTGTATACAAATATCTTGATGACGAGATCAAGGCGGAAAAACAAGAAGTAAAATATCTTGAAGACCATCTTGGCATGTTTAAAATGATAAATAAGAAATGTAATGAGCTTAGTAAATAGATTAGATCTTAATTTTTATATGAATATTTTGTCATTTTAATATTTAGACTTTGTTATCTACTTATTATTTTTTAATAGAAAACTAGTTGTTTTTATTCTATATGCGTTCTTCTAACATTAGATTAGTTACTTTGATGTTGTTAAAATCTATTTCAATTTTTTATTCTATGTTGTTCTAACATTTTTATGCCAATCTTGTATAATTTATTATTATGATTCATATTACAACCATAAATTGATAACAATTTAAAAAGCAAACATGAAATTGATAAAGATAAACATAAATACAAATATAGTTTAAGTTGATTTGTTTTGACAAAAAAATCCTTTGTAATCCAACATTAATGATTGTATTTACAAGGGAAATTAGATCGTTCTTTCATTAATTAATGGGTTCTTGATACGGCATAGATAATTGCACTAGTTGTTTAGTCAAAAAGGTAATATTTTTTTTGAATAATGTGTTTTGATGAAAATACCCTTAGTAATCACATATTTGGAATTATTTCAAGGGAAATTTGGTTTTTTAGCAGTTCACATCTTTTAGGCGCCATGATGGTTCCGACACCGGACGCCATCATGTCGTTTCAATTCTTCAGACCCATCCGGAAGATCAAACTTTCGACTATCAAAGAAAACCCCAAAACTGTCGATAGAGAATCGATCTCAAAATCGATTTTACCCAACGTTATTGAAAGCGGTACTTAGTCCACGACCAGTGCATGAAAGTAGGGTTTTTTTCTTAGCATGTTATACACAATATTTCACATTTTGCCTTTTTTTTTCTTAAAAGTTGATATCAACTTATGCAATGTGTATTTTGTAAGTAGAATGTCGAATACAAGATGCTTTAGTTAGTTGGATGATCTACATGTAGAGATTTTGACTCGAATTATTGTAATGTTGGGGTCTGAATTTGCAAAAGACATCATATCTACAAGAATTTGGTAATTCTCGATACACATTAACTTATGAATGTATATTTGATGAAATACAACTTCATTTATTAGTTATTAACTATATATTTCAATTTCTGAAGTTCGAAAAAGATGTATGCAGCGGGGGAAGAAAGTGAAGTGTTCAAAGAAGCGTCCCTCGAAATTTTTCAAAGGATGGGTCCCAAAGATCTTAAGGCTGATATATTTATACACAAATGTATAGACAAGGAGTGGTATGTCTAATTTTAGTAATTTTTTTGTAATTTGATTTAATTTATATTTAGTGTCATTGGTCCTAATATTGGTATTGTTTTTATCTGTAAACAGGAAAAGTGCTTCTGTAATGATAATTTTGATTTTGGTATGAGTTTCGTGACTGACCCGACAGAAGGAAGGTCAACCCTTAGACCGACTGACGTTTTGATTTTTGGATGGGTTGGAGGGAAACATGCATGTGTGGACCTTACAGCGGTATCCCCTCTCGTAAGTTTGAGGGTCGGGGGTTTCACGGCGGGACAGGCTTCCTTAAAAGCTGCTAGATGCAAGGTCACCAAACATGAGAAACCGTGCATGGAAAATCAACATGCGTTCATACCATTTTCATTTGATACGTTTGGTTTCCTTGCGCCGGATGTGGTGGAGCTTCTTAGTAGACTACAACGGATCATGCATAGCAATGTTATATCCCCTAGATCTATGGATGTAGTCTTCAAAACAATTGGTTTTACCATACAAAAGGGCTTAGCGGCGCAACTTTTTGCCCGTTTGCCTTCTCATTCGTTGTATGATGATAACTAAAATGTTATAATTTCATTTCCAACGTTTTCCTTGGTGTAAAAAAAATCTTTAATGTTAGTATTAATGTCAACCACTAGATTTTAGAATATTTAGTGTTGTGTTTTATAATTTGCAATACTTGTTGAAACTGCTACATTGGATTGATAGTTTTTTTAATGTATGACCCATGGATGACATATGGGTCATTGGTCGTGTGGTAGTTGGTTATAGTGTCATGGTATGACCCATGGATGTGTCATTGCGTATATTTAGTGTTGTGTTTTATAATTTGCAATACTTATTGAAACTGCTACATTGGATTGATAGTTTTGTTTATGTATACTTGTAGGTAAGAAACTACTTGACTCGCATTTCGTTTTGGTCTGAAAGATGGATTATTCTCAAATTGTGTTGAAAGTGTCTGGGAAATTTTGGAGAGTGTTGATGTTGTTCATAAACTTACAACGGATAACACATTCGAATGTGACAGGGAAGATCATTCCGTTGATGGGGCATTATACGTTGGATTAGATGAGGATGACAACCTATAGAGGTTTTGAAACGGGTTTCGTTGGTACGTAGAGTGTGGTAAACTTTGTAGGATTATTAGGTATTTGGTTGATCATCATGAGTCATAAGAAGATAGTGAATCATCAGAAGATAATTTGTAACACTCTTTGTATTGTACATATATATTTCTAAATTAGTTTGTAATACTCTTTGATATTGTACATATAATTCTAAATGGTTGCATTTATCTTTTGGAAGACAACGAGAAATATGTTTTTAATTACTAAGTATTAATGACTTTCAATAGTGTTTATATTAGTTTAGTTAAATTTAATTGGTGTGCTATAATCATCAATTTAGTCATACATGTTAATTTAGTGTAGGTTACTTTATTGACAGTGGGTGTATTTTGTATACAATTTTATTTTGTTTAGGTTGTTATTTGGTTAATAAATACTGTAATAAAGTTTCTATGTTTGTTATGACCTATAATTATGTATTTAGTTTCGTTAATAATTTCATGTATGTTGCTATATTTAACATTTTCAAATATTGAATGATATCTACCAAATACTTTGACCTAGTATCTATCGACCACATCGAAATCACGACCAAGGGTTGTCAAAGTTTCCCTCATACACTCTTTCTTTGAAATTGTGTTATGCAATTCTCAATTTCAGGTAAAACTGTCTACAAATATTCAAAATCCATACAGCCACTTTGAAATAACCAGTGACTAATAAAAATCATTTGGATACGCATTTGTGATATGGTGTGGTTAGTCAAAATCTATATAGTCACTTTGAAATAACATGTGAATAAACACATAAAATATTACAAATATATTTTCACTTGATTTACAAACAATAACATGAAATGTGACTAATATCAAAGTTAATGATTAACACTTTTCATTATTTTTTCTCTAAATAATAGAAACATGAATATTTTGCCAAGTGACTAATAAAAATCATTCGGTACACATTTGTGATATGGTGTGTCTATTGGAAATCCATACAACCACTTTGAAATAACAAGTGGCAAAGACATAAACGGTAGGAAAGCTATTAAACACTTTCAAGTTCAGTCACTCATATAGTTATGAGACTATATGTACCGGATTTTTTGTACACTGAAATCATGTGAGACAAACTCCATTTTATGAGTTAGAGACATAAAAATTTACCTCAAGTGACGATATATGACATTTGGCCACTTTGTTCGTGTGTGTGATATATATTTGTCACTTTTTATGTATAGAGTAACTAATGCTTCGACATCTTGTTCATTAACATCTCGAAAATATTCCGCCATAGATAGGGCAGTCAAACCAACTCTCATACGAGCTCTCGGCGGTTCATTCATCTGACCGTAAACTAGAGCTATTTTTGATTCTGGAATATTTTTTTCATTAATTACTCCGGATTCTTTCATTTCCATATAAAGATCATTTCCTTCACGAGTCCGTTCACCGACTCCGCCAAATACAGATACGCCTCCGTGAACTTTGGCAATATTGTTAATCAATTCCATAATGAGTACTGTTTTACCCACGCCAGCTCCCCCGAATAGTCCGATTTTTCCTCCACGACGATAAGGGGCTAAAAGATCTACTACTTTAATTCCGGTTTCAAAAATAGATAATATTGTATCTAACTATATAAAGGAAGGCGCAGATCTATGAATAGGAAATGTTGTACTAGTATCTATAGGACCTAAATTATCAACAGGCTCGCCAAGCACGTTGAAAATTCGTCTGAGAGTCGCTCCACCGACCGGAACACTTAGTGGAGCTCCCGTATCAATTACGTCCATCCCTCTCGTTAGACCATCTGTATCACTCATAGCTACGGCCCTAACTCGATTGTTTCCTAATAATTGCTGTACCTCACAAGTCACATTAATTGGTTGACCAACAGTATCTCGACCCTTAACTACCAGAGCGTTATAAATATTAGGCATTTTGCCTGGCGGAAAGGCTACATCTAGTACAGGATCATATATGGTCACTCCTCCCAATTAATAAGTAACTGAATGTTCCGCCAAAATCTTCTAGTTCACTTCAGCTACTTAATTATTATAAAGTATGACAATATGGTTTCGAATAGTCACTCAGTGGAGACCTTCAACTACTTAAAATATCATATGAGTAGCTGTTCGTTTTCGGCGTCGAGTGACCAAAGCCTATTTTTGTAGTAGTCGTTGGAGACCCCTAACACCATTCAAGAACAATTAAGGGAAGGGTAGAACATCGATTTGTCCTCTAAATACATCCATCTGGTTTGGTGCATTAAGGAATTACAAGTAACAATTAGTAATTTCTATTATTAGAATATAAAAGATTACAAAAGCTATTTAACATCACAAATTAGAGATTAATGAGGCTCTAAACATTTGTGTATAAATTCTAGATGATCCCCAACATACAAAGACATACAAACATTTTCTATTGTATTCTTGATCCCCACAATTGAACACTTTATTCTATATTTCTTGTCCACTAGTTGGTTTATGTAGTCTATTTGTGTAATTTTTGACATAGATGTTTTTTAACACCATAAAGTTAATAAGGTAAATAATGAAAATAAAATATTTTTCTTCTTCATTAATATAACTTTCCTTCTGTTTTGTGTCTTTGTCTATTTGAAGCCAATTTGTTACTAACCATGTTCAATTGTTTTTTTTCATTGATCATTAAGGTTTAAGCTATAAGAATTAATTTGGAATGGTTTTTAGTAGTCTACCAACTAAAGTCCACTAGATAAATATTTACTTTCCCGTCTCCAAACCACCCTGACTTGATTAGTTGTTGAATCGTAAAATTATGTTTTTTTGGTTATTTGATTACAGTTTCCTCTTTTTGTGGACAATTTCTTTTGTATAATGTTTTCATGGTTTTTTGCATGTTCTGTTTACTACTTGGATTCATAATTTTATGCCAAAAGATAACCAAGTTTATATGTGTGTTAAGAATTCTGCATATATGACATAATATTGATGCTAGAGAGGAAGAAGGAAAAGAAAATAAGCTTCCATAATTTATGATGGATGAATAAAAGAGAGAAACTATAACAAATTGTGTAATAGTTGTTATATTAACCCTAATACGTCTTGTTTAAAAAAATTGTAAAACTGTAACAAATTGATGAAGACATAGAAAATCATAGTTTTCATTCTGTTTCGAGTTCACATTCCATGATTTTGCAATGGTGTAGAAGGTGATTTTGTTAAAATATCATCACTAGCCTAATGAAATCAATATTATTATCTATAAAAGGTTAGCTTGTTCTAGAATTCTTTGGAAGATTCTAGAACATTATGGAAGGCTATGGAAGATTACATAATATATCGGAGGAGTCTAGAATACTCTAAACGACATGGAAGACCATGGAAGATTATGAAACATTCTAGAAGACATTGCATGATCCTAGACCTCTGTAGGACATTCTATAATGCTCTAGAAATATATAGTAGCTTATAGAACATGATAGATAGTTCTAGAGTTATCATGTAAATACCAAGTGTACACTAGTATCTCAAAACTTCCTTAGAGGCCTATAAATATGTGTAGAGCTAATTTGCTCCAAACCATCCAAGAAACACTTCAAGAAAATCAAAGTGCATTAGTCTCCCTAAAGTTTAAGTTCTTCTTACGTGGTATTAATAAAAGTATTATTGTATCCTACATAAAGAGTCGTGCTCAACAATCTGGTATCAAATCAAGGTTTCTTGATAGTGAGAGAAAGTGATTCTTTTTGTATCGTGAGTAGTTCGTGACTCTACAAGTTTAGTGTCGAAACTAGCTTGTTTGGTATTACCGAGGTACTGCCAACACGGTGGGTGATCTCCAAGTCATTGGACAAATCAAGAAACTCAAAAATAAAAACTACAAAATGTGGGCAACATGTATGATGTCCTACTAACAAGGACAAGTTTTATGCTTGGTTGTTGGCGGAAGCAAAACTAAGCTGCCCGAGGAATACATTAATGGTACTCTGCACAAATGGAGAATCAAAGTAGGCAAAGCGATGTTTGCCTTAAAGACCATAATTGAAGAACAAGCTTTTATCAATATCACAACGTGACATGACGATCGCTCAATATTTCCACAAGGTCAAGTTGATATGTCTGGAGATTATTGAACTAGATCCACAATCCATCATTACAGTAGCTCGAATGAACATGATCATCATCCGTGAATTAAGGACAAAATATAGAAGCTTCGTTGTTGTTGTACAAGGATAGCTCGTTCAACCATCACTTGTAGAGTTTGAGATTTTGTTGGCCAACCAAGAAGTTATCGCCAAGAAAATGGGAGGCATCACGTTGAAGAGTGGAGATGAGGAGCTCTATACAAGTAAAAGTTGAAGGAATTTCAAGCCACCTGCTAAAAAAGGATACAAAAATGCTGAAAAAGGGAAGAGTCAGCAAGGAACCTCAAAACCATGGAGATCTCAAAAGACTGACAATAAGAGTTATCAGGGAAGGAGGTTCGAAGGGAACTGCAAAAAATATGGAAAGTGGGACCACATGTCCAAGGATTCTTGGTCAAAGGAAAAGTCTTTCGAAAGCAATTTGATGACTTCCAAAAAGGAAGTAGAGGATGAATGGGATGTTGAGGCAGTATGTGCAATAGAAGAGAATAAGATTAAAAGAGGAAGGCTAATGTTTGTGGATGCCATGGTAAATGGAGGATACACCAATGCATTAGTAGATACTAGTGCATCTTATAATTTCATTGCTAAAGATGAAGCTAGGAAGTTGGGTATTATACACACCAAAAATCCAGGTCGGTTGAAGATCGTCAACTCTTTATCCTAGATAATCATTGGTGTTGCATATGGTTTACACCTTCAGATATCAGAATGAGAAGGCACCATAGACTTAACAGTGGTGCATATGGATGACTATCATATAGTATTGGGAATGGATTTCATAGACAACTTACGAACCTATTCATTTGAGAGAGATGATACCATGCATATCAAAGAGGGTTCAATAATTCATATTGTACCCTTGGAGAGAATTATAGTAAGGTCCCAAATCCTATCAATTATGCAACTCAATAAATGTTTCAAGAATAGTGAGACAAAGTTCATGACAACTTTGAAGGAGGAAATTGTTCCCTTGAAGATGGATGTTCCGAAGGAGAATAAGAACATGACGTCACCAAAGTTGCATAAAAAGTCGCATCTAAATATTTTTTGGATCATATGATGGATAAATTGGATAAGGCGAATAGGAATAAAAACATACTGATTCGTAATAGAGAAATAACTTCCCTCACATGAGCGACATCTAATCACAGTAATTGGATCAAGAAGGGATCACGACATAACACATTAATATTACGGGTATTAGCAAAATCTAACAAAAGAGACAACCAACATGGTTACAAGTTTGCCAACGGGGAGCATAAGAAACTATACAAGATAGTTTAATGGAGTCAGGATCAATATTATGGTGCAACAAAAGGCAACCAAGAATGTCGTTGTCAAGTACGAAAACAATATATGAAGCAGCGGCTGCAATAATTTAGGAAAAACAAAGCATGTGGAAGAGAAAATGTTCTAAAGGAAGAAGTCAATATGAGAAATATCAAGACAGATGGTCAAGTAGCAGACGGGTTCACGAAAGAGCTGCGTACTAGAAAATATAAGAGTTTTCGTTGTCAGTTCAACATGATACGAAAAAGGGTGGCTAGGGTTGGGGGGGGGGGGGTTGTTAAATATTATCAATAGCCCAATAGAATCAATATTATTATCTAGAAAATTTTAGTGTGTTATAGAATGCTCTAGAAGATTCTAGAACATTATGGAAGACTATGGAAGATTACAAAATATACCGAAGGAGTTTAGAATACTGTAGAATAGCATGGAAGACCCTGGAATGTTATGGAACATTCTAAAAGACATTGGATCATCCTAGACCTCTCTAGGACATGGTATAATGTTCTAGAAACATATAGAAGCTTATAAAACATGATAGATAGTTCTAAAGTTGTCATATAAATACATTGTGTATACTAGTATCTAGAAACTTCCTTAGAGACCTATAAATAGATGTGGAGATCATTTGCTCCAAACCATCAAAGAAACACTTCAAGAAAAGCAGTGTGTCGTGCTCAACAGTTTTCACATAAAATACACAAATATCTAATCTTTAGTTGCAAAATACAGATTAGGTTTTCTCACTTCTTTTTCATCACTTTTTTTGAACAAACAAAATTTTAGTCAAAAACAACGAGGGATTACAAGAAATAGAAGGATTCGAGAGTTGTTGAGCCACATATAAGCATAAAAAATCACCTATGTTTGATGAAAAACAGATCGAGCTTCATAATTATTGCTAGATATAGATTTCAGTTGTGGTGATTCACGAAGAAGTACATATCTAGCTATATTAACAATGACACAATTATTTACTAAAAACCAAGAGGGTTTGAAGAAATCTTGTTCTAAATTATCTGAATATAGTAAAACGGCTCCATTAACAACCCATTTCTCAAACATATGTATGATAAAAAGGCTAGTGCATGCAACAAACTGAAATATATCAGAGAAAAAGCTAGCGAGAGAGACCTAGTTGGAGTATTGATGAAGTGGTGATGAGTGTTCCCCGAAAACCCCATGGATCGTCTACTTTCGCCGCCAATATTCATGATCACTATTGCTTGGCTTTTACTGCTTACAAAAATATATAAGAAATTAAGTGAGAATGGTGTGGATGATTCTCTTTTGGTGATATACAAGGTGTGGAAAGGAGACAGTGGAGTGGAAGAAAGAACGAGGAATGATATTATACGGAGACTGTACAGCTTTAGCTAGGTCTGTAATTATTCCTCAGAAATTAAATGCAAGTTATATAAATGAACTTTTCAATCCTTTTTTCCCATTTTGTTTCTAATAGACATTAATAATTGTGATCAATAAAGATATTAACATGCTTCAAAGTACTATTTC